TGACTCACTGAGATTGCTGCTTTCCGAGCTGCCCATTTCAAGACAGATTGCAGCTGCAGCGAGAGAAGTCGGCTCGCACACCACAACTGCAGCGGAAGCAAAGGCCGCCCCGTGCAGCCAAGCAGCACCTCTTTCGTGGCCACGCTGGGCTCTTTTATTATTGCTGTTCTTACTGCATGTATACCTCCCCTTCTGTCCTCTTGGGAGGAACCCAAGGGGGCTTACCCAGGCCCCTTCCATTTATCCTCACCACAGCCCTGTGGGGTTGGCTAGGACGCAAGCATGTGACTGGCCCAAAGTCACCCAGCGAGCTTCGTGACTGAGTGGGGACTGGAGCCCAGATCTCTCAGTTTTTCCGTCTAACACTCTAACCACTGTGCCACACAGCCTTTGCTCCAGAAGCATACCCCAGTGTACAGCAGAAGGAGAGGGGAACAGATAATCTACCAGTAAGTCTGTGGCTGATCTTTAGTAGGATTTCTGATAAGGATTTCTGACTCCCCAAGTTGTACCAGCAATTAAGAAGTTTCCCTCCGTGGATTAGCAGTGTGTGCGTGTGTGTGTGTGTGTGTGTGTGTGTGTGTGTGTGTGTGTGTGTAAGAGGGAGAGGGAGAGGGAGAGGGAGAGGGAGAGGGAGAGGGAGAGGGAGAGCTTTGTGAATGGACAGGCTGGGTGGGGGAATAAGGGAAATTTTGCGTGTGGGGATCCAACACAAACCCCTTGGTTGAGCTTATACTTCTAGGCCCCTTAACCCTTTTTTTAAAAATTGTTCGTTGTGAAAAAAAACAAAACAAAACAAAAAGGCACACCATTAAAGAAGAAAGAAAAAGGAACAAAATCAAAACATTTCATTTTTGGAATAAACTGGAAAAAGTGCCATGGCACCAATAACATAGATATTACATGTCTCCATATGTTGGCATATAGCAGAACAATAACAGCCTTGTTGAAGACGATTCTCTGTAGACTTCAGCAAAGGTATCCCAAATAACCATGTTATTCAGCTGCAGAGTATGCCTAAAGGACCCTGTCCAGAGATTGAACATTTCATTAAATCTTCCACGGATTTTTTTAGTGCAGTGTTGTAATATGGGCTTCCACGGGAGGTGGCTGAGGCCCCATCGGTGCGGGTGTCCAAGGACAGGCTGGACATGCACATGGTGGGCATGTCGTGAGCGGAGCCGGCTGGAGCCGGGGGTCAGACTAGATGGCCCAGGAGACCCCTTCTGACTCGCTCTGTTTCTATATTCCTATGTTTCTGATACCAGTCTTCCAGCTGTCAAAAGGGCACAGAAAATTTATCTGCACTGACCTTGTGTTAAATTCCAGGAGATGGGTGTGCAATTCAGAGGAACATGTCCGGCCTGGAATATTGAAGGACTCTCCACTCTGAGGGTACGGCCCAAACAGGTGAAGAAGAGACACGTTAGCACTAGTGCACCTGCAAGAACTGCTTGAGCTTGTGTCAAAAGATGCTCTGGGACCCAAGACACTCAAACATCAAATTTTGCTGAATTAAGCTCAAAATTCAGGAGCTCGGGAGAAGCTGGGCAAGTTGGATGCTCTGCTTCCCTATTCATTCTTAGTTGAACCCGTGCTTCTTATTTATCCACCAGTAATAAGGACCCCGAGGGTGTGGAATGGGCTTCCACGGGAGGTGGTTGAGGCCCCATTGGTGCAGGTGTTCAAGGATAGGCTGGACAGGCACAGGGCTTCCCCTGCAAACCGGCCACCAACCTTGTGGTCCTACACTGCACTGACTCCAACCTGGCTATATCCTTTCTGTAATGAGGGGCCCAAAACTAAGCAAAAAACTCCCATCATCCTGAGCCAGCATGGACAGGGGCAGCTGTTTTGTATCCGAAGGATCTCAGCTTTGGTTTAAAACGGTGGACGTGCCCACAGCTTCCTGGAACCCTCCTTTCTGCCGCCAAGCGCTGGTGTGGCAGAGCAGGGGCTTGGAGGACCGACCTGCTGGGACCTTCTCATTCGCGGGGGCACTGCTGTCATTTGCTCCCCGGACCTCCTTCTGAGCAGCAATTCTCACATGAGCTTGGGGGAATGCAGGGCGTATATACTTGCGGCTTCCCTGCATCTTCCAATTGCCGGTTCAAATTCTAAGGACATACCTGCCTCACCTCCTCCAGTGCAGCGCTTTGGATATTTGAAACAGCATCTCAGTTCTCCAGATCAGGCAATGCTGGGAGGGGCACAGATCCGGGGTCTCCAACAAGCCCCCCATCCCAGGCAGCCCTCTGCGTTCACTTCCAAAGTCACATTTCTAGTGCAGGAGGGAGTGAAGTAAAGTGCAGACACAAGGGTGGCGTTTGCTAAAGCAGCGGGGGGCAGGGGGGTGCTCCGGCAGGACCCATTTCCTTGCCTCAGAGCACTGGAACTCTTTTAAGTAGCTTCCCATATGTAAAACTTTGTCCAGTATAAATCCCACTCCAAAACACATCACACTGACAAATCACTAGCTGGCATTTTAAGACAGAAACCCTTCTTTATTGTATGTACAGAAGGTCTTTCTGTTACTGAGAAACATAAAAAATTGAGTTAAGATTTCCAGACTTGATTATGCTTTTCATTCCTCCCGTTGATCATGAGACAGTAAATTTCTAGCCCTCGGAGTTACATATACAACACCCCTTTGTTTGAATTTTCATAAAGTTCAAAGCCATTGTGTTTAAAAGGCCCCATGTACTGATCTCCTATCAGTTCTGCCAGGATCCATGATTCCTTGCACTTCGCACGGGTGGCCCAGTGAGAACCTTCTCACCTCGTCCAGGGGAATTGGGACTCCTTAGAGCAGGGGTGCGCAACCCCAGACCTGAGGGCCAAAGGTGGCCCTCGGGAGGGCCAAGGGCACCCAGAAAGCCACTCCCCCTCATCTGGCCCCACCCCTTTCCAACCCCCAACTGTTCCGTGGTTCCACATCTTCTGTGGAGGCTTTTCTCCCTCCTAAAAAGGTGAAAAGGCCTCACCAGTTGCTGGTGGCAAGAGCCTTTGGCTGTAAGGTGTTGTTATTTCTGACCCAAGTCCATAAGCCTTTGGACCTGCCTACCACCCCGAGAGCAATCCTGAAATAGAACTGGGGCCTCCAGCTGACAGAGGTTCACTAGCCCTGCCATATAACTGCCAGGATATGGTCAACCTACCTGCAATTCCATGGAAGTGAGCTTCCAGACTAAAAAAATTCAAGATACAAATGCACCCCCCCCCCCCCCTTAACATAGAAACAGAGCAAGTCAGAAGGGGCCTCCCGGGCCATCT